CCCCAAAACCCCAAAACCCCAAAACCCCAAAACCCCAAATGGCAAATTTACATATCAAATACAGTGATTGATAAAATAATTGAAGTCATAATAAATAGATAAATGGAAAGTCAAGATCATCAAGAGAATAAAAACAATCTCGAAGGAGATAAAAAAGATAAGCCTCAACCTTAAAAAGAAGGCAAAGTGATAGTGAGAAATTTAGGTTTCGATCTGAAAGAAGTGCATTTAAAGAAAGAATTCTAGAAGTATGGAAAGATCATAGATGCTAATGTTCCGCTAAAGAATGAGACTAATACTAATAGAGGTTTTGGTTTCATTGAATTTTCTACAAAAGAGGAGGCTTAAAAGGCTATAGATGGAATGAATGGATAGAAGTATAAGGGTAGAGTAATTGCGGTTGAATTCTCAGCACCAAGCAGAAAATATGAGAACAGAGTGCAGAGTTTTATTGATAATACTAAAATGTCAAGACAAGATATAGTCCAGCCATTGGTGATCAGAAACGAAAAAGAAGAAAAACTAAAAGCTAAGGAGGAGAGAGAGAAGTCGCAAGCAGAGAAAAAAGATCAGTATCAGAAATAGAAAATAGCCAATAAAGAGGAAGCAAAGGCAAAATATGAAAAAGAACCTCAGAGATTGAACAAAACTCTATTTGTTAGAAATATCGGGTATGATACAAATGAGCAGCAATTCAAGGAGTTTATGGGCAAATTTGGAGATGTCAAGTATGCTTTACTCGTAAAGGTTAAGGAGTTGCAACTAAATCATGAGTCAGGAGAGGCAATGACTCACAAGGGTACAGGATTCGTTTAGTTTAAAAATCCCAATGTTGCTGAATAGTTGATAGAACTCTCTAACTCAATAGAGATTAAGTTAGATGAAGAATGCAAGACTAATAGACTAAATGCCAAAAAGAATAAAGGTAAATTGGAAGATAACAAAGGAGTACTTAGTGTGATAACTGGTGAACTCGAATTGAATGGAAGAAGACTAGTTATTAAGGAAGCAATGTCAAAGTCGGAAGCGATTGACAAACATGCTGAAGATCAATCAAAGAAATAAATGAAAGAGGACAAGCGTAATCTGAACTATAAGAAAGAAGGTCTCCTAAATGAGGAGACTTGGATTCATAAGAAACCAAGACCTTCTGAGAAATAGATTGAATAAAGACAGAGGCTACTTAAAGAAAAGGATGCAGCTCTGACAAAGAATACTAACTTGTTCGTGTCGAAGAAGAGAATTCAAATTAGGAATCTTCCAAGGAGAGACTTCTTCGAAAAGGAATTGAAGGAACTAATGATGGTTGTAGTTGAAGAATGGCTTAAAACTGTAGACGATAAGAAACTTAAGGAGTAAAACAAAAAGAAATTTTTGAAGCAAGTTAAAATTCTCAGAGATTAGGAAAAGATTGATACTTAGAGCGGAGATAAGCTAGCTAGTGGTCTTGGTTTTGCTGAGTTTGGAGATGAAGAGTTAGCTTTGTATGCCTTGAGATACTTAAACAATATGGAATTGGTGACTAATAAAGGCTTAATAGCTGATTTCAGTTTGGAAGATTAGAGAGCCATTCACAAACGTGAGGTAAAATTTGAGAAGTAAAAGAAACTTAACCAAGATAAGAAGCGTGAAGAGAAAATGGAGAAAAAACAGCAAGATGAAAAAAAGGCATTACTTCCAACAAGTGGAGTTGTAGATCTAGGCAAGAGAAACTAGCCAGAGAAGCTAGATAAGGAATCTATTGATAAAATCACAGACTTAGAGCTGTTGCATCAAATGATGAGATAAACTATAAGCAGAGGTAAAAAGCAAAGAATCAAGAAGAGAATTGACAAATTAGAAGCTGAAAGAGGCATAGTCAGAGAGTTACCAGCAAAAGATAAAACTCCTAAGCTACCATAGTAATAACAAGAAAGGCCTAAGGTTGAAGTGCCTAAGGTATCAGCATAGGAGAAAGTAAAGAGTTTATTGAAGAAGAGAGAGGAGAAGTTAATGTAGAAAGATTAGAAAAAGAAGGATAAGTTCAAAAACAATATTACTGATGAGGAAAGGGAGATCATGAAAAAGATTAAAAATAAGAAGAAGGATAAAAAGAGATAACAAGCAAGAGAGACTGATGAGTTCGATGACATACTAGATACTTACAAGAATAAAGTACTCAAGAAGATTAAGAAGTCACTTGCTGGCGCCTCTAAGAAGTAAATTACAGAAGGAGATTTTGAAGAAGTTGATCTTAGTGATTGAATAGAAGATCAGCTAAAGAGAGTGATACACTCTAATATTTAATTAATCGCGTATTTTATTTTGGAGTAATTCCTGACCAATATTTAAAGCAAATACTAAGCAATGGGGTTTTGGGGTTTTGGGGTTTTGGGGTTTTGGGG